ACTTTTTAAGTCAGTTAACTCCCTTGCCTCGGGAAGATTATGTGTACGCTTTAACCACAAGGCTACCACACAGCCCGGTGCTCACATAAATAAATTCAAACGCCACATATATTTTTCCACACACGGACACCCGTATCAATTTGGGAGGGTACAGGTTGCTCAGCCGTCTAAGGCACCGAATTTCACTGTGCAGAGTTACCTCCCTTACTCATTACAGGGTGCTATGACCATGGGTTCGAATCCCAGAATCGATCTAATTATGTTCCTGAGTTTGTCAGCACCATATCCGTGCTCATGGATTTCCCCAAAGTGGTTATCGTCATAGGTGTGCATCACCTCGGGGTTTTTTCTCATATCAAGCTGCCATGCCGTCATATAACTCAAATACACTCCAATGCCCCATAAAACCAAATTCACTCAATCGCTGACTATTGATCCTGGACGATAGTCCGCGAACTCCCGACTTCTTCTACAAGCTAAACTCACAGGCTTTTTTCTCATATCAAGCTGCCATGCCGTCATATAACTGAAATACGCTTTAATGCCCCGAAAAAACGAATTCAATCAATCTCTGACCATTGATCCTGGACGATGGTCAGTGAACTCCCGACTTCATCTTCAAGCTAAACTCACAGGTCAACCTAGACTAATATCTAGTCTCTGAAATGAACATATTTTACAGATTTTTTTTTTTTTAATTGCCTTAATAAAATATAATAAACAGAAGAACTTTGCCCACTATGATAGACTTGCATGGTTGTATTGGATGTTTCAGGGTCTGTCTGACAGACTAAGGACAGCCGTGTATGTGTGACTTGGAAGCATGATCTGGAATGCGACGGGATGGATAGTGGCGAAACGCGGTTAATGACAAGTGCTGTGGAATGGGAAAGAATCATTGTAGGTCCCGTAATAACATAGGTCGCTTGAATTTATGCATTCAGTCACGCTAGGGCCAACCCCCCTTGATGTGATTGCTCGGGGGATGGAGGAGCTAGGGGACCCTGAGTTACATGGTGCCACTAGCGGGATGAACGGGACTTTACGAGCTGAATGAGCGTGTACACCACGAGGCCGAATTTCTTTTTGCGTGTTCACATTACAGAGTCGTATTTTCGATGAAACATGCCTTAAGACCGCCTTTGAACAAAGGGAAACAGTTGTTCGTGGTTTGTCTTGGGGCATCTCGCCCAAACACACCCATCGCTTAACTTGGGACAGCTCGCCCAAACACACCCTTTGCTGTACCACTTGCACATGTTCTTGTAAATCTCGTGCATTTCATGTTCTGTATCTGACAGTCCGCGTTGAACAGTTTGACGTCATCAGCTGACGTGTTGTCGTTGTGTTACGAAGACGTCCATAGGACTCGGTCAGAAGATTGCGTTAATAACTTCGAATATAGGGAAGTAAATACCATTTTATGACAGAAGGTGTTTAATGTTCACACTTTCTGTGAAAGTAAATGCGTAATTTGTGGGGACTATGCATTAGTGTAAAGAGGTTTTTGTGTTTCTGGGGTTTTTTGTCATTAAATTTCAGACATTATTGTTTGGACTTGTTCATTTTGGGGGGAATAAGAACTGCCTCATTCCCAGCGAGAGTGTTCGGTCGGTATGGTAACTCAAAATGTGAAAGACCCGTGAAGATCCGGGGTAGACTAAGTTTTCAGCAACCCATGCTTGCGGGAAAAGGCGACTATGCCAGTCGTAAAAGGCGACTAACGGGATCGGGTGGTCAGGCTCGCCGCTTGGTTGATGCATGTCAGCGTATCCCAATTGTGTGGATCTATGCTCATGGTGTCAATCACTGGATTGTCTAGTCTTGACTCGATTATTTACAGACCGCGGTCATATAGCTGGAATATCTGAGTGCGGCGTAAAACAACCAACCATCAAAATGTGAACGTCAATTATGACGTTTCAAGCACGGGTGGCCCAGGCGTCTAAGGCGCCGCGATTCGCTGTGCAGAGTTGCGTCCCTTGGGCATGCCAGAAACCTTTGATTGTGGGTTCGAATCCCGGTTCGCCCCGATTATGTTTCTAGGTTTGTCAGCACCATACCCGTGCATGTGGGTTTCACCGAAGTGGTAAACGTCTGAGGCCTGCATCACTTCGGGCTTTCCTCCCACATTAAGCTGACACGCCGTGATATAACTGGAATACTGTTAAAAGCAGCGTTAAACTCAACGCACTCACTCATTTATGTACCTGTTTGTCAGTGTGTGGGAAATTGTGTGCCTATGTGTACCTGTGTTGCTGTCTGTGTTTGTGTTTAAATGTGTGTCTTCGTGTGCCTGTATGACCATGTTATGTGTCTCTCTCTCTGTAAATATATTTTTTCTCAAGATAGTTGCAGACCCGTGAAGATCCGGGGTAGAATAAGTTTCCAGCAATCCATACTTGCCGTAAAAGGCGACTATGCTTGTCGTAAAAGGCGACTAACGGGATCGGGTGGTCAGGCTCCCTGACTTGGTTGATGCATGTCATCGATCCCAGTTGCGGGGATGGATGCTTATGGTGTCAATCACTGGATTGTGTGGTCCAGACTCGATTATTTACAGACCGCCGTCATATAGCTGGAATATTGCTGAGTGCGGCGTAAAACAACAAACAAACAAAATAGTTGCCACAGTTTTTACAATTAACCCTTACAGACTCACATGGCTTGGTGGGATAATAGCATCACTTGGAATAATAAGTACTAAAATAACAGTTAATCAATCAACTTGTTCTGAGAATAAGTCTTTTTTTCTAATAAAATCTAAATTATCCTTATGTTTGCTTTGTCGCATTATGTGTATTATATCCTTGTTCTTTTACAAAATTATCAAAAGTACAGTTAAATTTTATTACTCTTAAGCGATATATACTGAACAACAACAGTTCCTGTGACATTGAATAAGATTTAATACAAAGTTATGTTTTTTACCAAATCTGAAACAATTTCGGTTTGCAACAGATAAAAGACTACTGTAAGTGTTCAAATGGTTTAATTTGCCATACTGACTTCAGAAAATGCGTACTTTCATTAAAAAACAAACATGAACGTGCCAAAATGTCAATTCAGAAATCAATAGCGTGTGTGTCCATCTCTGTTTGCGATGCAAGCAACACATCTTCGTCTTATGGAATGGACCAGGCGTCGCACAAAGTCCAGTGGGATATCTGTCCATATCTGCTGGAGCATGTTTCGAAGTTCCTGGAGTGTCCGTGGAACACGTGGTTGACGTCGAAGGCGCCGATCCATCTCATCCCACATGTGCTCGATTGGTGAGAGATCAGGGGAGCGAGCCGACCAGGGGATGACATTCACGTTGGTTTGTTGAAGAGAATCCTGAACAAGTCGGGCAATAAGGGGCCGGATGTTATCATGTTGAAAGGTAATGCCTGGGCCATGACGACGCAAAACGGTAGAACAACAGGGCCGATGATCTCGTCGCGGTACCGCTGTCCATTGAGATTTCCCTCTACCACTATCAAACGGGTCCTCTGTCTTGCTGTAATCCCAACCCATACCATGACGCTGCCGCCCCCGAACTGATCTTCTTCCATGACACAATGATTGACGTTACGTTCACCTCGACGTCGGTACACTCGAATCCGTCCATCGCTGTGGCTGAGGCGAAAACGAGACTCGTCAGTGAATAGAACTTGTCCCCACTGCATGGCCGTCCAGCGTAGACGCTGTCTGCACCACTGTAGACGTGCTTGACGGTGGTTTCCTGTCAAAATGGAACGTCTGGCGGGTCTTCTGGTGACAATCCCTGCACATCTGAGGCGACGACGTACGGTTTGTGAAGATATTCGTCGAAGGTCGGGGATGCTTCTTGCAGTCACTGTTGTTGGCTGGAATCGATTTCGTAGGTGTGTTGTTCGAATCCAGTTGTCTTGTCGATTTTTGGTTACGCATGGCCTGCCACTCCGAGGATAGTCTCTGACTGCATTCGTCTGTTGCCAACGTTGCTATAAACACCAAATGGTGTTTCTGTGGACGTTTAATTGTCTTGCAACATCACGTTGACTCGATCCTGCTTCAGTCATACCAATGGCTCGCAGACACTCATTTTCGGACAGGCGTGGCATTTCGTAATGTTGAATAATTGAATAATTTTGTTGTTTTTCTGAGTGGTTGTTGTCAGCACGATGCTAAACAATGCATATGGAATCCCGTTAACGCACACGTTTTACACCTATTCTGGGGCTTGCATAAGTCAACATTTGCATGGAATGCATGCTTTTCTGTAGCAGTTGCGTTTTTGTGCCTTGATTCCATTCTACAATATTGAAAACCAAACTTTACTTGTTTGAAGATTACACTAAAATATTGGTGTCACAGGATTTTTGTTGTTGAGTATACAAACATTTTTTTCAAATAATAATATATAATTAAAGGAATGAGAAGTTTTCAGTACGAACCCTGTAAAGACAATCAATAATCCTGTATTGCCAAATCTTAATAAACTGCTTTTGAAATGTCAAGAAAAACCATTCCAAAATCTATTGACGTTATGACAGTAAAATAAATAGTGTTGGAGTATCCAATTGACCACATCCTCCACAGACATAAGTCTTTAATATTGACCGCCTCCGTGGTCTAGTGGTAGAGCGTCCGCCCGGAGAGCGGAATTTCTGGGGTTCGATCCCCGGCCGCGTCATACCAAAAGACGTTAAACGATGGTACTTGTTGTTACCCTGTCTGGGGCTCGGCATTAATGGGCTAAAACAAGGACTGGTCGGCTCGGAGTCAGTATACTGTGTCTGAGTGGGGTATTCATGTTAAACTGCGGCAAGGTATCTCAGTGGGCTAGCACTATAAATCGGCATAAGTCCGGACTAGTACAAGCAGCCACACACACACGTGCATGCACGTGACTATATGAGTGCAATAATCTTGGAGGCGACGTTAAACCCAAATGCACCTTTAATATTTATCTCGGTGTGTAAATATTTATGTATGTGTGCCAGCTTCCAATATTTTCTTCTCATCAACATAATTCATCAATTCAATGTGTCCGATTCTGCAAAAAATACATTGTTAATAGCTGGAGAAGTGAACAATTGATATTTCCCTGCCAAACCGCTTTGATCTGTACAGCCATATTGACACCATCACGGAAAATAACAGTCCTCCTGAGAATACCAATTTCATTAACGTCACTGCATGGGGCCGTGCTCATTGACAATAAAACCACACCCAGCTTGATGAGGGCGATGGTCACACTGGCATGGAGGGGGGACACTGGACCGGGGAACGTTGGACAGGGGAGACTGGACCGGGTAGAGGGAGACTGGATAGGGGGGACTGGCCCGGGTAGGGGGACTGGCCCGGGTAGGGGGGCTGGACCGGGTAGGGGGACTGGACCGGGGAACGTTGGACAGGGACTACTGGCCCGGGTAGGGGGGCTGGACCGGGTAGGGGGACTGGACCGGGTAGGGGGACTTGACCGGGTAGGGGGACTGGACCGGGTAGGGGGACTGGACCGGGGAACGTTGGACAGGGACGACTGGCCCGGGTAGGGGGGCTGGACCGGGTAGGGGGACTGGACAGGGGAGGGGGACTGGACCGGGGAGGGGGACTGGACCGGGTAGGGGGACTGGACAGGGGAGGGGGACTGGACCGGGGAGGGGGACTGGACCGGGTAGGGGGACTGGACCGGGTAGGGAGGCTGGACCGGGTAGGGGGACTGGACCGGGTAGGGGGACTGGACAGGGTAGGGGGACTGGACCGGGGAGGGGGACTGGACCGGGTAGGGGGACTGGACAGGGTAGGGGGACTGGACCGGGTAGGGGGACTGGACCGGGTAGGGGGACTGGACAGAGGAGGGGGACTGGACCGGGTAGGGGGGCTCGACCGAGGAGGGGGACTGGACCGGGGAGGGGGACTGGACCGGGGAAGGGGACTGGACAGGGTAGGCGGACAGGACAGGGAAGTGTCTTCCCTAAAGTGTCTTTGGCCCTCGAGTACAAAACAACCATCATTTGCAGAGACGGTCATCACAACGGAGCGGTAGGCTAGTCTTATGGTTGAAGCGTTCGCTCGTCACGCTGGAGACCGGGTTCGATTCCCCACGTAAGCAACGCAAGTCGTTGTAGTACAAAGTGCACCGATAGACCGAGGCGTGTTCTCGAGGGAAAAAATGACGTCTCTGCAAATGGTGGTTGTTTTGTGTTTGAGTTTTATTTCGGGACCTGAATGAGCGTATTAAAACGGAAGCGTTTTAAAAGTCATAAGTTATTACCCCTGGCTAATTAGTTGTAAATTGTTTATTCATGATCAGGGCAACAGTGGTAATACGTGACGGCGTCAACATGAATAACGGACGATGGGTGCTTATTGTAAGCATGCATGGGGAAGTAGACACTTTTCAGTCTACTTGAGAGCGAATACTTACAGCAGCGGTGATATATATATGTATATTCATATTGAACGTCTGAATGACCAACACAGTTTCGAATGGGGCCCAAGCAGTTATCAAACCATATGTATATCCAGTGAAGTATGCATGAGTGCGTGGTCGGCTGATGAGAAATGTCTGAGTCACAGCAAAATCAGGACCTCTACCAATACACACTGTAATGAAAATATCGCTGAATCAGCTCGATGTTTGGCAGTCATTCTGCCAGACACCGGCTCCAAAGCTGGACTTTTTTGCAATTAGTATAGAAACCAGAATGGCAGCCTCCGACACCGGAACACAGTCGTTGATTGAAAAGTCTGTTTCCCACTGAAAACATGTATCAGAAACCGGAGGAGGTAGCAGTTTCCGTCCAGAATAAACTGATATCAGCCCTGTCTCAGCAATACTCGGCAAGTATCAATCCTTCACCCTTCCAATCACACTCTTCCTTCACCCTTCAAATCCCGCCCTTCCTTTACACCTCAAATCACACCCTTCCTTTACACCTCAAATCACACCCTTCCTTCACACCTCCAATCACACCCTTCCTACATCCCTCCAATCACACCCTTCCTACATCCCTCCAATCACACCCTTCCTACACCTCCTCCAATCACACCCCTCCTACATCCCTCCAATCACACCCATCCTACATCCCTCCAATCACACCCTTCCTACATCTCCTCCAATCACACCTTTCCTACATCCCTCCAATCACACCCTTCCTACATCCCTCCAATCACACCCTTCCTACATCCCTCCAATCACACCCATCCTACACCTCCTCCAATCACACCCTTCCTACATCCCTCCAATCACACCCTTCCTACACCTCCTCCAATCACACCCTTCCTACATCCCTCCAATCACACCCATCCTACATCCCTCCAATCACACCCTTCCTACACCTCCTCCAATCACACCCTTCCTACATCCCTCCAATCACACCCTTCCTTCATCCCTCCAAACACACCCTTCCTACATCCCTCCAATCACACCCTTCCTACATCCCTCCAATCACACCCTTCCTACATCTCCTCCAATCACACCCTTCCTACATCCCTCCAATCACACCCATCCTACACCTCCTCCAATCACACCCTTCCTACATCTCCTCCAATCACACCCTTCCTACATCTCCTCCAATCACACCCTTCCTACATCCCTCCAATCACACCCTTCCTACATCTCCTCCAATCACACCCTTCCTACATCTCCTCCAATCACACCCTTCCTACATCCCTCCAATCACACCCTTCCTACATCCCTCCAATCAAACCCTTCCTACACCTCCTCCAATCACACCCTTCCTACATCCCTCCAATCACACCCTTCCTACATCCATCCAATCACACCCTTCCTACATCTCCTCCAATCACACCTTTCCTACATCCCTCCAATCACACCCTTCCGTCTACCCTCCAATCACACCCATCCTACACCTCCTCCAATCACACCCTTCCTTCACTCCTCCAATCACACCCTTCTTATACTTCTCCAATCACACCCTTCTAAGGACACTGCACACTAACTATACATGCCGCCTAGCCCAAGCGTGGACAGGGTGGTACTTTTATATGAGGCATTTGTTTCTCCTTTTTGTGGTATCTGTCTGAACAGTGAGTGAGTAAGTGAGTTGGATTTATCCGCCGTTTTTTAGCAATAGTCCAGCAATATCACGGCAGGGGACAGCAGAAATTGGCTTCACACAGTGTACCCATGAAAGAAATCGAACCCGGGACTTCAGCGTGACGATCGAACGCGTTAACCACTAGACTACTCTTCGTCCCTGTCTTAACAAACCAAAAGTAAGCGCATAAAGCATAGATTCCATAAGTGATGTGAAGAAAAGAATAAAGCTCTATTAAGTAACGAGTGAGTACAGTGACCTTGTTTAAAGTAAAAACATTTCTGATAGATGACTTACAGACTCAGGTTTAGACGACGTTCAAATGTCAAACAGCCCTGGGGTCCCCGAAGACACTTTCCAGCTTGCTCCACACCAACAATCACGTACCCTATTCCTTTGAAGACGGATGTATAATTCATTCAGTCGAGGCAAGTGGATCAGTTACTAAATTAGTTAGGCAGTTGAATAGAAAGTTAAAATGACAAGGGTGAGCTGATGGAACTAGGGAACAACTATGTACAAATGTTCCGGTGAGTTAAGCCGAACGAGCTACGGAATACCTACATTACAATGTTACGTTTGGTTGGTTGGTTGGTTGTTTTTTAACGCCGCACACAGCGATATTCCAGCTATATGACGGCGGTCTGTAAATAATCGAGTCTGGACCACACAATCTAGTGATTGACATCATGAGCATCAATCCACGCAATTGGGATACGATGACATGCATCAATCAAGTCAGCAAGCCTGACCACCCGATCACGTTAGTCGCCTCTTTCGACAAGCAAAGTCGCCTTTTACGGCAAGCATGGGTTGCTGAAGACCTATTCTACCCCGGATATTCACGGGTCGGGGGTGTGAATAATGGTGTTAAAATGAGTCGGCAACTTGAGCTCGGAAGCTATGGAATAACTGTATTACTATGATACTTGAGGTTGAACTGGGGTGGTTGCTAAGTAACTGTATTAAATGATACTTTAGGTTGAACTGAGGCGGTTAGTAAATAAGACTGCGTATTTGCTTTAACTGGAGTTCACTCAGACCACAATAAACTATACATGACAGGCGGGGTAACGAAGGATAACATATTATGCAACAAAATAAATGGACCTGTCAAGGTCTAAATGAAGTCAGACGCTCATGGTTCTGTTACGATGTTGGCTGCGGATCATGTTGGGGTGAAATTTGAAAGTTCTAACGGATGCGGCAGATCGATACATCGAGCCCACTGAGACCTTCAACTGCGAGAGGTAGGTGTCACGATTTTTGAGTGGCAAGTGCCATTTCTCAATGAAGCGTTTATGTCGGGCTTTTAAGTGTGATTGTTTAAGTAAAAATAATATTAGAAATAATCATGGAATGTGTTTTGAACGTTTTCTTAAGCAAGTGTGTGGGATGGATTTCGTGCCTCTTTGACCAATATGGCGGTGACCTAATATTAATTATTGCAAGAGGAAAGCTGGTTACGTAGATCGTAGGCGTGTAGTACTGTGGGTAAGTCACTATCGCAACCGTGTGGTGCCGACAGTCCAGGGATCATAATCGGATTCTAGCCCGGTTTTGGAACGTATGGAATCCCAGAAGAGAAGCCTGGTCGCGCGCAAGGTCATGCTTTTTACGCCATTTTGATAGGGCGACGAGACAACGCGACATATTGACCTTCAACACTAGTGCTGCCGCATTGTCGTCCTTTGGTGAAAAAAGCAAAAATATAATTCAAAGCGCGACAATGGGCTACTCGAGAAGGTGACAAATGGTCAAAATGTTCCATTGTTGTGCGCTAAGGTTAATTGATACGTTCGCTTGTTTATGTAAGGGAGACAACTCGGCACCCAGGCACGAGGATTTCATCTCCAGTTGATCTTGCTTATCATCTGGGCGAACAACAAATGATCAGTAGACAGTGCATCCCAATCTGACGATGGTGGTTATGATAATGATTATGATTACTATTACTATGGCAATTATTATTGTTTTCGTTGTTGTTCTTTCCTTTTGATCCACACCTCTGCGCCCAAGACACTCACCCCATGACCTTGATAATACGACCATTTGTATATTGTGTAACGTTTCTACAAAAGTCCTCATCTGTGTGGACCTCTATGCTGTGTGCTGAAGGCGACTAATTTCGCCGCAATACGGATAGATAGATGGTTTGGAGATTCTTAGGCCTGCAGTGTTCAATTCAGGATTCCCTCGATGAAGAAGCCTGCTTAATTCGCATTGATGTCATAATCTTCGCTTTGCATGTCGAGTTGTACATAATGCATGTGCAATCATTCATCAACGTCACGCCACTTGTCATTTCACGAACAAGATCTTGCGATATCTCGTAGCTGAAATCGTCTCGGCGATTTGGAGGCAGAATAAGGGTTGTAAATAGAAGCTATTGCGTGTTGGAAGCGACAATCGGCTGTAGGATGTTCTAAATGACCTAATATCCATTTTTAAAGTGGTAAATATTTCAAAGGCCTGGGAGACAATACCTGTTCAGAAGAGGTCGATCAATACAACGTTAATGGCAGTTTGGAACATTGCGGAAACCAAATTGAAAGCAAAATGAGATCTAATTAAACATGGGTGTCACATTTTTAATAACACCCTTTCCTACCCGATGTAGTGAACCATTTATCTACGTCCTTTCAAAGTTTCCGAAAACTCACAATAAAGTCAAAGTCAGTATTGAAAATGAAGAGATTATATCTGCTCGTTTCTGATATGTATTAAAGACAATTTTAAAATACTTATAACTTCATTCAAAATAAATTTAAAATTCATTTATTCATTCGGGGCGATGGGGTAGCCAAGTGGTTAATGCGTTCGAACGCCTAAGATCGGGGTTCGATTCTGCATATGGACAAAATGTCTGGAGCCCATTTGTGGTGCCCCCCAACGTGACATTGCTGGAATATTGTTAAAAGCGGTGTAAAATCATAATGATTGATAGATTGATTGATTGATTGATTGATTTACATACGTACATTGATAATGCTCAGATGAGCTGTCCGTTAAATAGATCAATTCGCTATGTTGCCTTAGTTATTCATATATTCATATTCATATCTGTCCCGACAAAAAATAACCCTGGTAAACGATTACCCCAGACGATACACAAGAGTATAATGTCCGTATGCACATCTAAGGAAAAGCCCTGTGCATCGATGAGAAATACACTGTAGGCAATGTGTGTGCACTATCAAAGCATATTCGGCTTTCGTTTATTGATTTTGGTGAAGGAGAAGCTTGGTGTTTTTTCTACAGAATGTTTACTAACATGTATTTGTAGATGAAAACTGCAAGATGGTGAAAGGATCTAACTTTGTTAGGTACGCGAGTGCGATACCCGAGTTTCATAATAGACGTTTTGAAGAGAGCGGGAGTAAGTAAATACCTGGTGTATGAACTTGTGAGCTATCTTAGGTAAATAATGAAACCCGTGATTGATAATATGAGTACCACCTTTTACGCGTTGATTCCCAGATTTATGCAGTATGTTAATCCCGAAATCTGTACGTAAAAGAACCTAGTGTGAACCCAACAAACAACCAACAAACGGTATACAATCAACAAATGTATTACAAAATTAAC